CCTGTAGTCCAGTTTGCTGACTCCCTTAATTGCCATCATAGAACATCTATCTAATATCTGAGGGAAGCAGATACGGACATCCACAGCTAAGAACCAAGTCAAACGTCGGGAGTCCAGCCACAAAGTGTGAGCAGTGATATTATGAGAAAAGTGACCAAGACCATGTTGGGGAATCCATAGTATCATCTGACCCAAGCTAGTAGGATGAGTATCTGGGAAAACTGAAGAAGTCTTTCTGAATATGGTGACAGTTGTTTGATTTGGGTAGATTGTTGCACAACAAACAGTGGAATGAGAATTAATCCTGAGAGCCAGAACTGGTTCTTAAGTTCCAATTTCCTATGCAGGAAAACCTAGGTCAACCTAGATATTGTGTGGGGCATTTTGTCCTGCTTTAAGTGATGTGACAGACTTTGTTTACTCCTCATGGGAAGTCTCACTCTCTCTGAGGAGTGGATGGGAGGTAGAGTGGTGAGATAAAGGGTTTACCAGTAGGATGTTAGGGGGTGTGAACTGGGATTAGCACATAAAATAAGATGCTTTAAAAAATCAAATAAAAGGAAGTACATTCTTAAAGAAATTTCTTAATAAAAAATCCTCTACATAACAAAGAAGACTTCTTTATATTTCTTGTTCCTCTTATATAGTGTCTGCACCAAAGGAACTTGCCTAAATGTTATATGTATTGTTTATATTTTATCTTTCATGTGGTTATGTGTTTCATGGAGGCATTTCAATTAAGTTAATTCACATCAATTTTCGCTTACATTTTGTTGTAAACCTATGAGGAAACGTTTTTTTTACAAAGTAGAAAACCATGTTTCTTCAAAGTAAAAGATATGTAAAAGTATCATGAACAAGACATGCATGAATTCAATGTAGTACTCACAGCTAGAGCAGTTTAAGGGGGCCATGTTGATATCCGAAGTATCCCACGATGCCATGCCTTATTGGCGGCCTGAGCAGGATCTTGGACAAAGATGGCATGCTCTTCCAGGCTGTGTCAAGGATCATGTTGGAGTCCAGAGGCCTAAAGAGGCTAAGAACTGCATTGATGTCCTTGGCCCATGTTCCCAAAAACGGCCTCGTTTATGCCCAGGGTTTGTGCCATAGTCAGTGACACATTGGTGTCTCAGGACTATGTCACTCTCAGGGTTAGTTCAATTGGATTTCCCAGTGCTGCCAAGAGGTGTCATAGTATTTTCCAGACCAGGGTTGCCAACAAGGACGTCCCGGTCCATGACCCTTCCCCAGTCAGATTGGGTGTTCATACCTGTAGCTCCTGAGTCTTTTGAAGAAAATGCCAATGTCAGGCATCACAGCTGCCATTTGAGGTTATGTTGGTGTCCGTGGGCCAGGCTGGCTTAGAGACCAGGCTGATCTAAGAACTCTGTACTGCCACTTGAGGCCATACTGACATCCATGTTCCAGACTGATGCCTTAACCATATCTGGTTCCATGGTCCTACTACAGTCAAGCTCAGTATGGATTTCTTTGGCCTGTCTTGTCACTAAATACCACATAGATGCCTGGGGTCTGGGCAAGAATCTGTGAACATTGGGCATCTAAAGTCCATGTGTCCATTAAGGACATGCTGATATGAATGGCCTTCACTGTCATGCAGGGCCATGGTGTCATCCATGCCTGAACTGCTGTCAAATAGACCTGTAGCACCCAGGGTCTGAGTTGATGTCAATGACTCTAGTTATTACAAAGGATCATGCAGATGATTGTGGTCCACCAGCTACCTGAGACCATGTATGTATCCAAGGACCAGGCTGCTGCATGGGCAATACTGATCTGTGTGTCTGGTGGTTCCATCTGTGGTCACAGAGACATTAATCAGGTGACATCACATAGGGCCTTGTCATGCCTGAGGCACTTGCTGTGGCAGTGGTCTGAGGTATCTCTATAGTTCCTGCTACCAGTGATGGCTCTGAAGATGCTCAGGGTCTGAAGATCATGTTGGTGCCTGAAGGTCTCACTGTTACAGGTTTGTATTGTTCCGAGTGGTCGGTGATGATGTCAGGTCATTGAGGCATTTGGCTGCTGCCAAGAGTCATGTCAGCTTTCAAGTTCCTGCATCTAGGATTAGTGATGATGTCTGTGGCCCATTTTAGCACAGGGGATCATCAAGACCATGCTGTACCGAGCCAGTCCAGCCATTTATTAGCCCTGGAATTCCTGACCCTGGCCCTCTTTGAATAATCCAACAGGAGAACTTACCTTCCCACTCAGGGGAGAGCTTGCTGCTCACACTAAGATGGTTCTATTCCTAACCACAGACATTCACCTCACCTGGACAGCACACTAGATTTGACCCTTTGGTCAAGGATGCAGGTGACCAGAACCTAAGGTTGTTAGAGCAGAAGAGCTGACTCGACCTCCCCAAGAGCAACTGGGAAAAAGGTTACTCTACCTTGCTGGGACAAAACAAAAAAACTGGCCCTTGGAATGTGCATGTGGGTGCCCTGGATCTGAGAGCCTGAGAGCAGGAAAGCAGGTACCAATCCTTGCTAAAGGTTGAGTTGAGTGAGCTAGAATGACTGAAATGGAAAACTTTCCTGGGTTGTGACAGGAGGAAAAGCTGGCAGACTGACCACCCTAGCACCCACTCAGGCACAGAACCAAGGCTTTGAGTTGACCCACCCCAACATCAAGCAAATGTATGAACTGTTAGAACATCGGAAGGGTCAAAACAGCAGAATCTCCATAATTTAGGAAAACAGGATATACAAGTCAGAATCCACTCTCAGTGGTGTAGCAGAAAGCATTGGCAGACCAATGACTCATGGTACTGAACACTGGCAAGTCAAGATAGATTTAAGGGAAAACTACATGACTTAAGGGGACACACTACAGTGTTCATGACAAGAGTCCTTTCCCCCCCTTTTTTTGTCTTGTTTTGCTTTATTTCTTTATGTTTCATGTGGGTTCAAAGTACATGATGTGAAATCCACAAAGAATCAGTAAAATTGCAAAAAGAAATGTAGTTTATAAATGGTCACTATTGTCTCAGTTTACGCAGTAGAACTTTTATAGATTTAATATTTTACAGATTTTTTTATCTGTATTATTTCTGCATGTGTAAATATACATGTGGTTTCCTCTTATGTAGTTTATTACTCTCTCATGTGTCTAACCCTGTGTTCATTTACTTAATGCTTGAAGAACACCACTAGATATCAATCATCAGGGAAACTCCCTGCAATTTTCCCTTATACCACATCTGAAAAATAGTCCTTAATGTATTATTGTTATTGCTGTGTGTATTTAAACAACAATAATTTTTAAATAGAACAAATGAATTTGAGATAAATTCAGGGATGACAAGAAATGAGTCGTAGAGAAGAGAGAATGTAGAGGGTGTGAAAACAATACAGTATACAAGTAGGAAATTTTAGAAAATTAAATAAATGTGAAGAAAATAAATCTGAAAAAAATTCTTTGTCTTGATGTATTTTCTTTGATGGTTTAAAACCTCTGAGTTTAACACTGAGGACTTTGAGATTTAATAATTTTTGGAAATAGAGATGAGTAAGCAAGTTTATTTAAGAAATGAAAGTATGTCAGGAATGAACAAATAACAGAATCAGGGATATTGCAAGTGAGAGGCATGCTTTCAAAGGGGAGTTTGTTTATTTTGTGTGTTGGCAGATGTGAATTAAGGGTATATAAAGTGAATCAGGTATAGCTGACTCTCATTTTACTCTAAACCAGGTTCTGAATTTGCTCTGAATTTGAGAGAGGAAAAGTAATGTACAAATAGAGATTGAAATCATGATTTGGTGGAAATGGTCTAACTTTCCCATAATTTGTGCTTACTACTTGAGTTCTAAAAGTATAAGGTGATATTCCAATCGTTTCATAGGCTTCAATGACCTACATATTGCTTGGAATTTAGTATTTGGGGATATAATCATCAGAGTAGATTGCAGAACTTTGGATTCCGTTATTCTGGATTCTGAATGATTGAGAAGAATAGTTGGATTTTTCTATCAAAAATGAGATAGGATAATGAGAGAGCTTAACACTGACCTGATCCACACATGGTTTCCAGCTAGTAATGTTTTGTCAATCTGACTACAGAATATCATTAATGTAATTGGAAGTGAGAACATTGTTGAAAATGAGTAGACATCTTAATTTCTTTTTATACACTAAGTTCATTTTTTAAAAAAAAACAGACTCTCCAGAAGATAAAGAACAATGAAAAGCAATCTTTCCCAACAGAAACACTAGTGAAAAAAATCAGTCATAATCAAATGAATTCTGCTATAGTTATAATAGTTTCCACTACAGCTTCACAGTCTCCAATAGAAAGCATTTACCTTCACAGAAGAAGAAATAAATACTTCCTCAATTGCAGACATTAGACTAAAGGACACATATAGATTACAATGGTTAAGAATACCTAGTATCTTTCTATAAATATTCTGTACAGTTATTCTGATGGTACATTATAAACTAGGATAAATATCAAGAAAGACACTGTGCTCAATTTTCTGCTTTCTCTGCTATTATAATGATTCACAACAAGTTAGAATCTCACAGAAACCAAGTATGAATCTTTCTTGAGAGTTAATTTGCCTTCCATGATATGGACACATTTAACCATTGTTGTGTTCATCTTCTGCATATAAAATATGATAAAAGAGCTACAAAGTGATTGTAGATATTTATTAGTTTCTTTCAAAAGATGGGGCTGGAGAGATGGCTCAGAGGTTAAGAGCATTGCCTGTTCTTCCAAAGGTCCTGAGTTCAATTCCCAGCAACCACATGGTGGCTCAAACCATCTGTAAAGGGATCTGGTGCCCTCTTCTGGCCTGCAGGCATACACACAGGTAGAATATTGTACACATAATAAATAAATAAATATTTATAAAAAGATAAAAATCTTAAAACTTTGGTTGGAGAGAATGCTTCAACCACTAAAGGCTAGGCTCACAACCAAAAGAGATCTTAACTGTTCCTGAAAACTGTAATGAATTTTGTCACTCTCAAATCACTTGACATGTTAAGTGTAATAAGTCCCTTGAGTAGAAATTTTGAAGTAGCCTTTTCAGAGCACTATGAACCTCAGTGTTTCTCAGGGTGTAGATCACTGGATTAAGTGCTGGAGACAGCACAGGGTACAGCACAGAAAATAACCTGTCTGTAACTGATGTGGTATTTGAGGGTGGCTTCAGATAGACAAAGCAAGCAGTAGCAATGAAAACAGTAAAAACAATGAGGTGAGGTACACATGTGACAAATGCTTTGGTCTGGCCTTTAGCAGTAGGCATCTTCAGTACAGTGGAGAAAATGTAAAAGTAAGAGATCACAACACAGAAGATACAAGAGACACCTAGACACAGAGCAATCCCAATACTTGTGTAAATGGCTACAAGTGAGTCAGAGCAGGATATCCTTAATAAAGAAGGAACATCACAGAAAATCTCTGGAATTACATTAGAACCACAGAAAGGCATGGAAAATATGAGAGTTGTATATATGGCTGCAAAGAATATCGCAATGACCCAAGGTACACCCATCAGCAGCATACAGTTGATACTACTCATAACAATGTCATAATGCAAGGGAATACAGACAGAAACATAGCGGTCAAAGGACATGGCAGTTAGGAGAAATAATTCTTCTGCTCCAAAAGAGGCCATGAAAAATAATTGACATGCACATCCAACAGTAGAAATGGAATTGTTGTGAGTTAGGCTACTGATAAAGAAATTTGGGATTGGGACGGACACTAGAAAGACATCCACCAGAGACAAGTTCTTCAGGAAGAAGTACATGGGTGATTGGAGTTTCTGATCCAGGGTGATGAGAGTGATGATGAGCAAGTTACTCATTAGGATCACTACATATATTAACAGAAAGGACACTCCAGAGAGAGTCTGTAGTTCAGGGATGTCAGAGAGCCCCATAAGGATGAATTCAGTTACTGCTGTGATATTGGGCATAATATATGCTTGCAAAGCCTGTCAGATGAAGAAAAATAAATAGATATTGTCAAAGCCCTGCACAAACATGCACATATACACACATACATATATGTATGTGCATGTATGTACATACACACACACACACACACATGAACACAGTGGGAAAGAGTAAAGACACTATCTAAATAGCTTCAACATTTTAATAAAACTTTCATTTCATCTTCCCTTAATCTCTTAACCTTATTCCATCCCTCCTATATTGTTATGTATGTTCTTCTCCCCTCTCTTTCTCCTCACTCACTTTCCCTCATTTTCCCCTTCCCTTTTTATCTCCCTCCCACCCAGTGATGTTTTTACCACATTATATATATTATTCTGCTAAGTAAGTTTTCTACAGTCAATCTCTATAACCTTAACACATAGACTCTTAAAATGAAGACTAATTAACCAGAACACTATGTAATATAAACTATTCTTCTTTTGTTTTTCAACAACTGCCATTTTAAGATTAGAAAATAGTTTTCATAGTTTACCATTTCTTGGCTTTCATTTAAAGAACAATGAATATTTAAAATACAGAAAATAATGTTAAGAAAAACTAAAATAGAAATGGAATAGTTTCATTTAATTTTGTAGCCTCAACCTTACTTTGTATCAAATGCCTATATTTTGAGCAATGCAAAAGTTGGCACAATTATTGACCTTTTGTGTCAACTATTTGCTTAAAGGTTCCTTTAAGAAACTATAAAAGAGATTAAATGATGCATTTCCTAAAAGTGCTGCAAAACCCAATGGATATCCAAGAGTGGGTCAAAATATTGCTGTTTCTCCAATTATTTCCCTTGTTTTTGATTCTTGTAGACATTGAGAACAATTGATGCTCTAATGTAAAGACAATCATAGTGTCTACCTCAAGCCTGTAACAATCGTCCTTCAAGGTTGAAGAAAAGGTAAATTAACTTAGGTATTCCCAATTTTATTAGCTGCTTTTCTTTAAATCATCTGTTCCAGACTACATAAGACTTCCATGAATTCTTATTTGATGTCAGGAACATTGTTAGAACAGAGTAGTTTTAATAGACAGACAACTGCTGGTAACACTGACTCCCTGAGAAGATGTGATCATCAAAAAGGAAACAAATTTCCCCCTCTTCCAAATGATAGATCTGACATATAAATACCCGTAAATCAAATAAAAATGGCTCATCAACTTGAAAAATCTTCCCTTCCAATTAGGTAGTGATTGTCTCTCTTTGCAGATTCAACTCTAATAACCTTGCAACACTTTACACTCTATATGATTGAAACTGAAACAATAATCAATCAAATAATACACTGAGCTAGACTATTCAGGTTCCTATTCTCTTTCCCTGTTTAAATAGGCATTCTTGTCAATACTTCTAAAGACAAGGCTGACCTATAAAATTATATCTTCTAATTATTTTTTCTGCCTTTCATCATTATGTCTACTGTTTAATATGCAAGCAGGTAGGATATTCCTAATTTGCTGTTGCTTTATAAAGTCAGGATCCTAATGTCACAGAATTTCCTTAATGTTATTCCAACAAAATATCCCTTCATTTTCATGAATATTTTTTATTATCCTTAAATATTTAACAGTTTTACATTCTGTAAAATTACATTCCCTCTTTTGTTTAGAAGAAGAAACTTACCACACTTACCACTTATCACTTACCACAACCATTTGATTCAATATGGAACTCTAGGCCACATAATGGAGTACCTCCAAAAGTGCATGGATCTTCCCATCTTTGTCAAATCTTTATGAAAATGTACTCAGAAGTTTGTTAGATGTTTCTCAATATTGCAAACTCTATAAAAAACAAAATAGTCACAACTGTTCTTAATTGCTTTTCTCCGTAATTATTTTAGCTCAGAAGTACTAGATAGAGACCATGATACTATTGTATATATGTATTAGCTAGTATAGAATAATATATTGCCATGAGAAGTTTTTTCTGTCATGAAAGTCTCTGCCATGGGAAGCAAATTAATCACAAAAGTCACTCATTGTTTAATCATTTTGACCTTAGTAGATTTGAACATGTAATGCATATAAAAATGTTATATATGTTCTTCAAAGGCAATTTTAGCTTTAGCAAATAGAAGGATTTTTCTAGAAAGACTTTTTAGATGCTCTATAGGAGAGTCTTTCATTAGGATGCTCTTAAATGAACTTAGTATTAAAATGATCAATATTGACTTACAGATATACCTATAGATTGATGCATCTCTTAGCAATAACCAAAATGTTTCTATTTACAATAGTATATGATTAAAATAGAGAACCAAAGTATGTCAAGGTGAAGAGACTTGGATTCTACAGAATACTCAGCCCTATTGGTACAAATACACTGCACACCAAAAGGCCAATGATCAGGATTATTGCTAAAGAAGGGTAGAAAAAGGATAAAATTCTCTCTTCTTTCTCCTTCCCTCTGAGATGCTTGCCCTGTTTTGCTTCCTCCCACAACTTCTCTATGTATCTCTCTTTCTTTGTCCTTCTCCCTCACTCAGTTTATCATCTCTCTCCCCCCCACTCCTCTCTCTCTCTCACACACACTCTCTCTGTCTCCATCTCCCTGTGTCTGTGTATGCATGTATGTGTGTATGTTATTGACTAAATAATAAACTAATATAGAGATTATGGTGGCATATTACTCTGCATTGGAAAAGGCAAAGATAAAAATGTGTAAATATTTTAAGAAAACAACAAAATTTCAAAAGAAATATTGCTGGGCATTCAAACTTTGGTTTTGAGAATTTTGGTTGATTTAAGGGCTTTCCACCAAAATTCACTGGACAAGTCCCTTGTCAAAGATCTCTGGAGATGGTATTATGGAAATCATAGCTCTAATTCACATTAGAATAGATCATATATGGAATATTTTCATAAAAGCTTTCAGTGGACACAGAAACAAGATTTGGTCTCAGGATAAAACTCAGGATACTTATCTGGCTATTACAACTCTTAGGCTGGGGAAATACAAACATAAGACAAAAATTAAAAAAAAACACTGCTAAATTTCATTGCTTTAAATAACTTTCACAATTTCTTCCATAATGATATTTTTAAAAATTTAGACAGTATAGTTTAATATCTTACCAGTGGAAATATAAAATTTCTACCTTAGAACAATGCAGATTCTTTATTCATATGCATGTGGGATGATTTTCCAACAGGTCAACTTGAAGAAGGAAACTTTTTCAGATGCTTTAGAGGTCAATTTACAGTGGATCACCTGAAAGGAAAATAGAAGACGTAGCCATCTTTAGAAACTCTTGCACCAAAACATCATTTTTATGTCTTTAGTATTTTAAGTAAACTCAAAATCCTAAGCTAAACTGTAGTTTCTTGGTATGAAAATGCAACTATATGGAACAGAAATTTGAAACCTAGTGTAGCGAAACATCTCTAACGGACCTATTTAAGTCCTTTGGCTACTTGCTTGTAGTTCCCAATGGTGTATCTTTCTTGATAGCCTTATTAAGAATACATGTCTGAAGAGAAATAGTATTGTAATAATTGATACTACAGAACACATTAGTCATTCCCTAGAAATCACATTGTGATAAATCATGAAGAACATGTTCACATTTCCCCCGAATCAATTAATTACATATTTCCTTAATTTTACAGTGCACAGAGTTGGATAAAACACTATAGTTATAAACAAATCTTACAAAATACAAATATAAGGAATTTTGAAATCCATGTATGTTTATGTTGGTTTAACTTTACAGCCCATACAATGAAATATCACTCTGTACTTAGCTTCTTCATGAGTGAAAAATTCAAAGAATACACAATAATATACATAATCCAGACTCTGTATATTCAACTTTTATGTGGCCTATTTTTCTTACTCTATTACTTTTACTACAAGTTTAATATTTATTTTATTATCTTTACTCTTTTAATCTATGACTGTCTGTACTATTTTATAGTATATTTACTGTCTCTTTACTCTTTTTATCTCTCTCCCAATCCCATATAGATTTTTTAAACATATTGTGACTCATTTAGAGATTTTCTATATCTGAATCTGCTCTTATTCCATATCTGTAATCCTTTTCTGACCAAACTCTATCAGGTTTTAAGTGTATTTAGCTAGCACATATTGGGTGCCAATTTGTTGTAGGAGGCTGCTTGTTTGTTTCCAGCTGCTTGGCCCCTAAATAATCACATAGAAACCATATTATTTGCAATACTTTTAGTCAATAGCTTGAATGTATTACTGGATAACTCATGTCTTAAATTAACCCATCACCATTAATCTGTGTATTGCCACAAGACTGTGGCTTACTGGGTAAAGTTCCAGCATCTGTCTCTGGAGGGGCTACATGGCTTCTTTTGACTCTGCCTTCTCTCTCTTGTTGGCTTACCAGTATAGTTTTGACTTGTCTGACTCTGGTGGTGGCTTCATGGCAGCTCCCTGGCTCTGCTTTCTTCCTCGCAGCACTTGAAAGACCCCAACCCAAATTGCTCAAATTGCTGCCGCAGCTAAAAATAACGCCATTTTATGCAAGGCTTGTACTTTTGGGGAATTCAGACAGAGGACAGTCATACATTGCAAAACAGGATTACAGACTGTCGGTAGCAAAACAGGATATCTGTGTTCAGCCGTGGAGGCAAGGCAAGAACGGGAAGTGCCAGTTATGAAAGGGCCAACTCAGCCCTAACCGGGGTCCATGTACCAAGGGGGAATTTCTCCCCAATTTAACCTGGCTAAATTAAGCTGTCCAATGAAATCCCTGTAACCATGGCATCTGCTTCTGTAACCGCGCTTTTTGCTCTCTGCCCTTATAAAAACCCTTTACCACAGCCTGAGAGCGCGCAAGTCTTCCGAGAGACTCTGCCGCCCCAGGTGCCTGTGTATCTGAAAATAAACCTCTTGCTGTTTGCATCCGCAACGGTGTTCTCGCTGATCCTTGGGAAGGGTCTCTCCAGAGGGAAGACTCTCTTCGGGGGTCTTTCCCACTCAGTTCCTTCTTCC